TCTACTACTTACACTTCTTTACAAAATCCTTCATTCACGTACATTCATAAAGAATGATGCCCAACTTTGAAGGAAAACTAACTGAAGGAAAAACTGGAAGTTGACTTGTGATGGACTCACATCCATCAAGTTTGACTGACAATAATTCTCGTTACCACATCTTCCTAAATGAATGAAGAATAGAGTTTCTATCGATCTGGTCTGATCTAAGAACTTTCTCAAATCTTAACCACTTGAACATGACCAATATATTTTAATCACAGGTTGGGATGGATAAAAATATAGCCAGCTTGTCAGTTCCTCTGGGCCAACTGAAGGAGGAAGTTTTGGTAAATACTGTTGCAAAGAGATAAACTGCAATTTGTATGTAGAATTGGATTAATAAAACAGTTCATGAGATTCAAGTTGTTTGAAGGTGAATTTTGTTATTGTAAACATTATAAATATCTATTCACCAGCTCATTAAGTCTGACCTCGATGGAACAATTCATGCAATAGAAAACAAACTGGATGAAAGAGCATTGCTGAGACAAACAAAGGTACAGTGAAATTTAGCAAATAAAAGCACTGCTGAAACAGACAAAGGCTTGGTAAAATTTAGTTTATAACAACAAATTGCAAATGTCAGTCTATGAAAAGAGAAATGTTACAGTGCAACTCAAAGATAACAGGGCATCACAGACTAGCACTATACACTTTTCTGACATGTCTGCATCTGTAAACAGACTACAATAGTCTAACAACAAATTTTGGGATGTGGATTTTTCTCTGTAGGGCTAGTCATTTGAAACAGAGGAGCAACAGTCCTGAAATTCATATCAAAAAGGCCTTTTTGGGGAAAATCATTTTTCTAAAAACAAAGAACTTTTGTATGTACGTATATTGGGTAAAGTAAATTAGAACTCTGTGCAATAACAGTTCAAAAGAACTTTGCTGTCATCATACCCTTGGTTTTGTTTTTATTGCAAACATGTCATTTCGAATGTTTACTTTTCATCCAAGACATGCATGCAACATTTACTGAACATCACAAAGTCACTGGAGAAGATCGAGAGACTCTTACAAGGATCCGGCCTCTCTCAGGAAGTGACAGCTAAAGAATCTGAAGGGTGTGTAAACAATAACCTTATCTTTACGTGTAATTTGGAGAATTCTTCACATCATTGATGCTAATAATTGACCTTTCTATGTGTTATTAGGGAGGATGACTCTCATCTGATTGAGAGGGTGGCCAGTGAATTTAATCAGTTGCAGTTTTATGTTACTCAGAGTCAGGGGCATCCATTGGTGGAAAGCATCAGAGGGGTATGTTGTTTGATTGTTTGCTTCTTAACCCTAAATTAACTACCAAAATCTGATTGACAATTCTCCCCTGCAGCTGCTACACATTTCCCTGTAAATATATTACAGGCCAGTTAGCCCAATGGATAGTGCACTGGACTGTAGTGCTGGAGGTCGAGGGTTCGAGCCCCGGCTGGACCAACACTCAAGGTCTTAAAATAATTGAGAAGAATTTGCTACCTTTCTATACCATCAAGAAATGGTTAGATATTCTAGTCTTCTCGGATAGGGACGAATAAATGGAGGTCCCATCTCCTGCAGGGTTGGCGGTAGGAGAGGTTAATTTCCCACGCATGAGATTGGGGTGGGATGGGTGGGTTTACTGGGCCCGCAGTAATTGGCGTAAGCTGTTGCAGTGTCCCTGCCGGTTGGCGAAGCTAATAAACTAAACTACACTAATATTACAAGAAGTTGGTGTTAGATCAAGATAACAACTTCTACCTGACATTTATTACCTCAGATAGCACCTGCAAGATTTAAACACAAATTGTTAATAACCTGTTCCTTTTTGGTTTCTTTTAAAAGCGCATTGCTGCCATTACAAGCACCCTTCAAAAGAAATTGGAAGCAGCATTTCAAGAAGGGCTCCAAACAGGAGAGTTGAATCTTTTGTCACGTGTGCTAAGAACTTATGCTATTATTGACAAGACAAGAGATGCTGAATTGTTGTTCAGAGAAGTTACTGTGAAGCCATACATGAGTGAGGTAAGATCTGATCAAGGAAAAGCCAGTGTATAAAACTCACTTGCCTTCCTCACAGAGTACATCCCTTCTACACTAGTGTAAAGGGACAAGGTCTACTTCTCCTTGGACTGGATGGGAAACAGGTTAACACCAAGCAATTTCTTACAGTTCCCTGAGAGTTCACCCCTCTGTACCATAAAGTAACAAGGGGTGCCACAATTCCATGCATGATACTAGTCTGGTTTAGGTTACGCCTAGGATTTTTATAGCTTTTCCTGGTTGTTCACCTTTCTTTATCATGAAGTAACAAGGGTTACTGTTATGCCAACTGAAAATGGAGTGAGTTCAGTACAGCTTAGCACCCACCTTTTAGTCAGAGTTTGCAGCAGTTCCACTGTATCCCTTACTCTTCTGTGGAGAGCAGTACTGGAACAGCTAAGTGTCTTGCTTGAGAATTCAACTCAGCAACTTGGTCAAGGTTGAAACTAAAGCCTTTAGTGCACTAACTCTTAAATCACCAAATCTACCACTTTATTATGACATGGGTAAGCCAGCTAATGTTGTATAATTTCTCTGTAGGTTATTGATGAGAAGATGCTGACTGCAGATCCATCTCAGGGCCTGTACAATGTGTACAACAAAGTTCTTGAGTTTGTCCCTAAACACTGTGCACAGATGATGAACATAACATCTGGTAGATTTGTTGCCAGTGATGTGGAGATGTTTGGTGAGCAGAGAGCAGGAATTAGAGGCTTTGATTTCCTTGTGAATGCTGTGTGGCCTGAAGTAGTGGGTCTCATTGAGGCACGGTTTGGATCAATCTTTGCCCCTGGTAATCCAGATGTGTTCCATCAGGTATATTTGATGATAACAATAAAGATAATGATAATAACAACAACATTAATTGAGCACTCCCTGAGTGCGGCTTTTCAGGGTCAATACAATCTTATTACAAGTAAAGTTTGTTACTTAACATGGAGTTTAAAAGTCCCAACTGGCAAGAGGCAGACCGGTTGGGCATATATAAAGCACAGCTGAGGAGTTGAACTTAGGGCAACTGAAAACAAATCCAATAAGTTGCAGGATGGAGGACTTGAAACAAGTCCATTGCTCTACCCAGTCAGCCACACCACTTCCGTAATAGTTCATGTACCTTTTAGTAATTTGTAAGGCTGAATAGCAGGCTTGTTTTTTACTTTGTAGTGTGGCTCGGAATGCTTTCATCTTAACAAAGCTTCTTTCAATTAATTTATATGTGATATCAAACTTATGCTGCAGAAATACATGACCACCATATGGTTTATCAATAAGTTTGAGGGTCTGTGTGGTTCTAAAGTGAGTGTACAAAGACTGCGGTCACATCCCAGCTTTACAGCTTTTATGGCAAGATGGAGTTTGCCAGTCTATTTTCAAATCAGGTGAGTATAACTTTTTGCTTTGCAGTGTATGATTTTCGGTCCAAAATTTTCTGGTAGGAAAAGAGGAGTGTTTGTGCCCCTAGGTCTTTTATTTTAATATTGTCTTATGTAATTTCAGGTTTCAAGAAATGGTTACGAAGTTTGAGAATTCACTCCAGTTGACACAAGACAATGCAAAAGGTACATTGTAGTTCTTTTAGTTGAAAAATCTTAGCTCTTCTACATTATTTGCTCAGGAAAGCATTAAAAAAAGCTGCAGTTTTTAAGAGGACCCTAACCTTTTTTTTCAATTTGTCCCACATGTTCACCAAGTACAAAGAGTATTTGAAAAACCAATTTTGATTAGCTGACACAACCTTAAAGATGGATTAATGCTCATATATTTCACTGTTACAAATAAAAAAAGCATAAAATTTTAAAAAATCTTGAAGCATTTAATTGTCACCAGTAAATTGACAAGATTGACTAGTTGTTTAAAATTGGTTTTTCCCAGTTGTTGATTAACAGATTTACAAGAAATGCTTTGTATTAAGTAAATTTTCAGTATCATTAAATTGATGGTGTTAAATGTGAGTTTGATATTTTCATGTAATTGATTAAAAGAAATATACGACAGAAAGAAGAAGGCAATTGTTCTGTATTTTATTTTGTGAGTTTTTTGTATGGACATATTATGAGTTTGTTTACAAATTATCAAAACCAAGAAAGTGAATGATATCATGGTACAAAAAGAATTGAGGTCTATGTTAGAGAATGATGTATCTCTTTGTCACAGTCAATGCTATGGCTGTCAACATGTCATTTTGTGAGTTGGGTAAAATACTTAATTTCTTCTTATTACAGATATTCTTTCAGATTCTACTGTATTCTTGACATCAGCTGTGAGTGTGTTGTGGTGGTGCATTGAGAGGTGTTGGCAAGACTCAGTTTACATTCAGGCCCTCTGTCACAGATTTTGGAAGATAACCCTACAGGTAAGGTTCTAAAAGGCAAAGCACAATCTGTTTGTATTGTCCTGAGTACTCCTCTTTGCTTTTCTCTCACTTCTTGTCCTTCTGCCGTAGGTTTGTGATTCTCCTGCTAACTCCTTGTTGGATCTCAACACTTCTTCCCAACTACTTTAGTTCTGTTACCTTTGTACTGCAACAGAGACAGCATGTGTCTCTTGCTTCATATGGAAAAGTTATAAACCCTTTAGCTCCCAGAAGTGAAAAACATGTAACTTCTCCCTATAATATCCATACTTTATCCAGAAAACAGGTAATGAGAATACTCACACTTATCAGTCTGTTGTTATCTCGATCTAACACCAAATTCTCAAAACCAGTTTACGTGGAAATGTATCACGTCTATAAGAGAGAATTAACAATCAGATCTTGGAAGTTTAGGGTTAATGGGGCAAGAAAGTGTTGGATCAATTTGTGCAGATTTTGTTTCCTTTTCTTCCTCTCTAGCTACTTTCACGTTTGTCTGTATGGATCAAAGAAGATATTTCTTCTCTCAAAGCAGTCAATGTAAGTGAATTGTTGGTCGAGAGATTTGTTTTTGGTTACCATCAAGAGTGAGTGACCTAAAATTAATTTCTCCCAACCCAACAGTATCCATGCATTTTGAGGCAGATAGGCAATGAAAAGAGAGAGTAATATCAACTAGGGGAGATTGCTTGATTTAAAACACAATTCTTAGGTCTGTAATGATATGAAATGTGTGATGAAGGCTTCATAAAGTTGCATTTCCTGCTTATTTATTTTCTGAAAAAAAATAGTTCGAAACAGTATCACTGCAATGAAAAGAACAGAATGTGTTTATAATTGTGTAAGCCTGTTCATGGCTCTCAGTCAGGGGGAATTAATGAAAATCAGCTGCACAAAAATTTCAGGGGGGTCACCACTTCCTTTAGCACAGCAGCTGCTGTATGTTGCTTGTCCAATCTTTTGTTTCATCTTCATTGATTGACAGCCTTGGGCAGGCTGTAATTGTAACAGTGGTAAGAGTTGGATGTACATGTAAATATGTATGCATCAGCTTTTGTTATCTGCATGACATGTTCAGACTGACACTATGCAGACTAGGTGTTGTGTGTCTGAGGTAAGTCTCTTTAATTTTATTAGATTAGTGATGGAGACACAAAGCAGGGACCTGGGGAAGAGTCTACTCTGTACTTAGTTCACTTACTCAGTGATTTAAACACTCTTCTGACAAAGGTGAGTTCAGAATTTGGAACATAACTTGATTCTGAGTTAATAACAGTCACTCTGCCAGGTCTGTCAATAGTCTTGGCATGCGTCACTGTTTTTTTTACGTGGTGGTATTGGAGTATGTCTCCCCTTCCCCACCTTTAATACATAGTTGAATTCTCTGGTTAGCTTTCAGACGCAGTGCAGGATCGTCAAGGGGGTTGGTGGGGTGGGAGAGGTTCTAAAGACCTCCAAGAAATCCAAGGACTTTGTGAAGAAACATTGTTTTGTTTTGCTATGGAGATCACTTAATTGGAGCAAAAATCTCAAAATTTGAGTGCGATATGAAAACAAGTACGAGTTGATCTCAACATGTCATGGAACTTTTTTACCGATTTGTTATTTTAGGTGCCAGAGTTCTTTAGACAGGACATATTACCAAAGCTACGACAAACAAACATTCAAGACACAGAGCTCCTGTCAGGTGAGTTAATCACTTGTTAATTTCTTTTACAACAGGAAGAAATTTTCACCATTGCCTCTTCTTTCTCTCTCAACCAATGAGACTCAATCACCTTTACTCTTATCTGTTCTATTTTCAGAGGCCATCCTGGAGTCATGTGGGGCCCTTCAACAGATGGTGCCAACATTGGAGGCTCAAATTGTGAGCCAAGTGGTAAATAGGGCCTCTCAGGGACTTGAAGCTGTCAAGAACATCCCCAGGTTGTATCGGAGGACCAATAAAGAGGTGAACCCTCTTCATTTCACACGATTTTAAAGTAGCTAGTAATAACACTGATGTTGAAAGTTATGACATAATTCGATTTTGCGCCGCAACAACAAAAGCAAAAAAGTAAAGTTCTCACTGCAGCCAATCAGAAGAGAGCTGGTTATCGCAAGCAGTCAATCAGATTTTAATGCGAACTTTTGTAAACTGCCTGAAACGCGGGAAAATGCGAGTGGCCAAGTTGCGTCTGATTGGTTTAGAGGTTAGCGTGAGTTGTTTAGACCAATCACAGAGAAGAAGAAAGCAACCTCGGAATACTCTCCGCATTCAATTAAAAGTGCACTAGAAGCGAATATTTCAAACAAACCACCAGGTTTTATCTTCCCTTCTTGCCGCGTAAATTTTTGAAATTCAAATCCGGTTTGTGTTTATTCTCAACAGGCTCCAAGCAAGTCGTCTCAATTTGTGAGCAGTGTGCTGAAGCCTGTTCGTGAGTTCCTGGTACAGACTCAGCCTCTGATTGAACAACAACAGCGCCAAGCGTGGGCAGCGACAATCTTACAGACTCTGCTTGTTAAGTAAGTTATTTTTACGCTTTTCACCTTTGTTTGTTGTTCTTTTTGGCATACTGTTATTGCTGTTTCTTCGTCTGTTTTCGTCGCTTTCTAAGATGAAACCAAAGTATATGGTATTTAACCACTGAGTATAACTTAATAAATCGAAATTCTGGACCCTAAATTCTTGCAGCGTGTTTATTTATCTGTTTCCTATCACTTTGGCCACAGGATGCGCGCAGGCCTAAGGACTAGCGCGTTGGAATTCTAATCGAGAGAACTGGGCTCGAGTTCTAGCCAGCTGTTTTATCTTCTTGCGCAAAACACTTTATCCTCACGGGGCCTCTCTCCTCCCAGGAATAAAAATATGTACTGAAAATTTGTACTGAAAATATGTACTGAAAATATGTACTGAAAATATGTACTGAAAATATGTACTGAAAATATGTACTGAAAATATGTACTGAAAATCAGTTAGAGCTGAACCTGGTCATGTACATTGAAATCCCGATTCCTCCATCCTTATGACTCTTCAAGTTTCTGCCATGCCCGGCCTCCATGCCCGGCCTCCATGCCCGGCCTCCATTCCTCCAGTGGATCGGTTAGTCCTGTACTCTTGTTATGTTTGTCGGATCTCTCCATTGTTGACACATCTTGCATACTTGCCCTGAATCAATCAGTGTGTTATGCAATAACCGTGATTGAAATTTTTCCCAGGTATCACGCGATTACAGGCGATGTGCTCACGTCCATTAAACGCACTGAAGACAGTCTGATGCGTCTGAAGCGCTCCAGAAAACAAACGGGACCAGGGGCGAGTGGCCAAGCTGTCAATCAAGAGAGTCAATCACCCATGAGTGATGACGACAAGATTCGTCTCCAGTTCTCTCTCGACACAGAAGAGTTTGGACGAGCGGTAAGGAACAAAGTTGATGCACTTCATTAAGAGAATATTCTCTTGACTTCATTTGATATTGAAAATGCTTACTTGTCAAAATGCCAACACTAAGCGTAAAAGTTTATATATGGTCTAAATTCTGCTGTCGGGTTTGACCAACTCAGCCCAGCTCTATTAATCTGGAAACTTTTTCTTACAGCTCAGAGAACTGGGCGTCGAGGAGAACCGAATCCCTGCGTACACTGAGTTACTCAACACAGTAAAAGCTGCGCGTGCTTCAAACATCACCAACAGCTGAGACCAGGAGCAAGTTTTAGGCTAAGAAGATCTGGATGAAATTGCTCTTTCTTCAGCTTGATCTCACTCTTATCGACTTCAAAAAGGGGCCCAAAGAGAAACCAACTGTGGAAGAAACAACAGTTCCTCTAATTCATTCTGCCAGAGGGAGAAATGAGAAACTCTACCAGAAGCTTGCGTGCGAACCCGGATCAACAGAACAATATAGGGTTTTAAAGGTTAATTGATGTTCATTATCGGTTATCCATCAGATATCGTAGCTCGTGCAGTTTTAAAATTGTTGGATATTGAGCTGTATCCAACATTGGTGGAATAAGAGGCACGGCGTACATGATAAAAGTTTCATCAGAATCTGGGGGCCATGGTAATTGATAACAGAACGTGTTTTGAGGGTTCACGAAGAGTATACTTGTCTTGGTAATGGAGCACTAAATGGAAGTAGTAATATTTATTAGGCCCAAGGACCTTATATTTATGACACGTAGGAAGAGACTGAAAATTTTTAATCTAGGAAACTTTGATCTTTCTCCAGTATAAATTCAGTACTCTTCAGAGCGGGAAGTTTAATGTAATTATGGAGAAGAACAGTTTATAGAGATCCTTAATTACTTAAATTTCAACAGAATGTGAATAGATTTGTAGACAATAGCTGTGTATTGGCTCAGGTTAGGAATATGACAAATGTTATTAAACGAGGGCTTAAGTGGAATTATGGAAAAAACCACTTGCACTTTTTCAGCTCTTCTGGATCTTGAAGGAGTTCAATAGTCATTTCTTTCATGGGGAGGGACAATGTTTCTACTCCTTTTCAAAACTCTAAAGAACACATAGAAAATACATTTTTAACTAATTCGATAATTTGAATGGTATGAATGGAACTTTATTTGCGATTTACCATGGCAAGTGAAACATCAAGACCTTTACTTGAGTATCAAAATAAACATATGAAATGCAGCCTTTTAGACGGGAAAATGCGTGAGAACGTGTAAACAAACGCTTAAAACGCAAAAAGAAAGAAAGAACAAGAAAGTAGTGAAACATGCGGGACCGCTAGAAATGATTCTGAATTAATTGCTTAATGATTCACTATAATTACAAAGTGCGCGGATCCTCAACACTTCAACTGACGTATCTGGCGATTGTGACGTGTTAGATTCGTTATCAAAAGCGAGGAGTTCTTGTCACTGACTCGAGAAATTATGGCAGACGAAGGGAAAAAAGATATGTCTATTGTTGAACACAACGTTCTAGAAGTTTACGAGGTAGAAGATGGAGCTCTTCAAGAGTGCATGATGTTTGTTAAAAAGTTAAGCGAGACAAGTTTACGTGAGCTGGAAACTGAGAGAAACAATTTAAACGATCTGTTGGCAGAAGCCGAAAAGGAAGTGAATAAATTGAAAACTTCTCTCAAGACAGCTAATGGGAACGTGGAGGAACTCACATCGAGTGTGAAAGCTGAAAAAGAGAAGCGTCTTAAGGTTGAAGATCTTCTTGAAACAGTTCAAGCCACGGTGGATGAGTTGAAGATTGAATTGAGTCGCAGTAACGACTCGGTTGTGGAACTGCAAAAGATTGGGCAAGAGAAAACGCGCGCCCTGACGGAGGCAAACGAAGTGATTGCTGAGATTACTGAAGAGAAGAAAGCTCTGTTAGAAGAGATCACAAAACTGCAACACTTGAGATCCCAAGACGAGGAGGATACTAACGCAATACATCTGCGACTACTCAAGGAACAAGAAAAAATTTTGGCTCTTGAAGAAAAGCATGACGAAGAAGTTACACAATTGAATCAAGAGTTGAATGAAGTACAGAGTTACTTGACTACCCTGAAAGAGCAAACTGCTGCTGAGGTGGCGCAGCTCAAACAGAAACTGGACCTTGAGCAAAAGATGAACGAAAGCTTAAGTAATGAGGCTGACAGCTGTGTCGATGACATCAAGAAACAGCTTGTTAAAGTGTCGCGTGAGAATGAAGAAATGCAGGCTTGTAAAACGTCTCTTTCTGAACGACTGAATACTGCGGAAGAGGAGATACTGATACTGAGAAGGAAACTAAATGAGGAAAAACAGAGAAGAGAAGAACTTTACCAACATGACAAGGCGCATCTTGAAGAAACAAACAATCATTTGGAGAAAAAGATTTCGGAGAATGAAATTTTGAGAGCGGAGAAGGAAGAAATTGAAAAGAAGCTTCTTTCTTTAGAAGGTGAAAAGGAAGAACTCCTAAGTCGCACCAAGATGATGGAAGAAAGCATGGAGGCTACACGAGGCGAAATATTATCTCTACAGGAAGAGTTAGAAGCCTCCAAAACTCCTCATAAGGTACCCACTGATCATGATCAAACTGAAGAAGCCGCTGACTCATGGGCGAACAGAGTGGAGGAGGCAGAAGACTGGGAACAAAAATACAGGGAACTTGAGATCGAGCAAGAGGCACTACAGAAGCAGTTCACACAAGTCAGGAAACATCGTAACCGGGTGCTGCGGGAGAATGGAGGGCTACGGCGTCAGATGTCCATGGCAGCTACTCAGCTAGCAGTCACCAATCAGAAGTTTCAAAGGCAGCTTCAGCATTTTCGCACCCAGCTAAACATGGCTGAACATTTGTACCGTGAAAAAATGTTGGAATGCAGTATTCTAGAAGTGCAACTTAAGCATCTTCTGAAGTCCTCTAATTCTTCTCAACAAGGTTATGATTATACCAACAGCAACTCTGAAGACCAAACGCGTGAATACATCAACCGAGCCATTAACTTTGGTCGCCGCCATGACTTCTCAGTTTCCCGCCCTGTGCAACGTTCACGAGATGACAACATGAGGCACGTGCAGCATGCCGGGAGACAGCAGCATCCATTCAAGAACCAAACACAACAGAAACCCGTTCCACCGACCCAACTCGATATCCAGCAAGTTGAAGGCATCGCTGTTGATGGTGGCGCAAATGGTGTGGAAGAAGAATGTAACTCGCCAGATAATTGTACACCAGAGTATATTGAGGAGCCCGTCGAAAGCAGCAGTTATCCCGAGACTTCCGCACCTACTGACTCGGCAGCGTAGCTAATTCACAAACTGTATTTCAACTACCATCTGCTTATAGCTCAATAAATTGTTTTTGATTAAATATTGTTTCATTATGGTGTACCAGTTCTCTACAATAGTTATTAACTTTGAAAATGTTAGCCTGCCTAAGTGAATATATGCTAAACCTCTTCCAAACATCATTATACTATCTAAATTTGCCAAAGACGGCAGACCGAAAAGATTGTGGACAAAACTGCAACAACTAGAAGGAAAATAGTGGGGAAAATAAAGCATTTGACTGACACTGTGAATCCTGCACAATGAAAACAACTCTATTTTGGGAAGCACTGCAAACTGATTAAAATTGAACAGCTATTGTAAGTTTTCGCAGTTCAATTACGCCAGCTGTTCAACGCGAGAACAATTTTAACCGAGATAGTTGAATGGAAACCCTCTTCTAGGCCTTCCATCGGTAGTCTCCCTCGCAGCCGTTTTTAGTCTCGTCACGCAACGCTTCTATTCCATCGGTGAAGACAAGCGAAAAGGCAAATAAGCAGAAACCGGTAGTTTTCTAGTGGCGTCAAACTTCCCTACCTCACACCCAGAGACTGGCATTGGCTATTATCAAACAACAAACATATGAAATACATATATATGAACTGCGGTTATCAAACGTATATGTGCACGATCCTTCGCAGTAAAGCACTATTTAAGCAATAGTGAAAATCAGACCTGAAAAAAATTCAGGCCTGTACGGGATTCGAACCACTGACCTCTGCGATACTAGTGCAGCGCTCTACCAATTGAGCTAACAAGCCCACTGTTAGCTCAATTGGTAGAGCGCTGCACTAGTATCGCAGAGGTCAGTGGTTCGAATCCCGTACAGGTCTGAATTTTTTTCAGGTCTGATTTTCACTATTGCTTAAATAGTGCTTTACTGCGAAGGATCGTGCACATATACGTTTCATAACCGCAGTTCATATATATGTATTTCATATGTTTGTTGTTTGATTTATCATCTACGGGTTTATGTCGAATTAATTTGATGGCCTGCTCCCAGTTGGCTTGTTAGCTCAATTGGTAGAGCGCTGCACTAGTATCGCAGAGGTCAGTGGTTCGAATCCCGTACAGGCCTGAATTTTTTTCAGGTCTGATTTTCACTATTGCTTAAATAGTGCTTTACTGCGAAGGATCGTGCACATATACGTTTCATAACCGCAGTTCATATATATGTATTTCATATGTTTGTTGTTTGATTTATCATCTACGGGTTTATGTCGAATTAATTTGATGGCCTGCTCCCAGTTGGCTTGTTAGCTCAATTGGTAGAGCGCTGCACTAGTATCGCAGAGGTCAGTGGTTCGAATCCCGTACAGGCCTGAATTTTTTTCAGGTCTGATTTTCACTATTGCTTAAATAGTGCTTTACTGCGAAGGATCGTGCACATATACATTGGCTGTTATGTTGCGGTATATGCATTATTGTAAATATTTCCAATTTCAGACAGCTATTCCTTCGTTAACTTGAATTTAAATCCTTACTGAATATTTCTTTAACCATGCTCCTTGTTGGTTAAAGAGTTTCCTAACTGGTAAATTCAGTTAAGGATCTACTTTCTCGGATTTTGGTGACGGCGGGAAAGATGATTGAGTGATGGAACACTGAGTCATCTGCCCCAGTCTTACCGCGGTTATGCTAGTGGACAAAATTCAAGATGTCGCGTGGTACCAGCGCTGGGTTTGACCGACACATAACAATTTTTTCGCCGGAAGGACGGTTATATCAAGTTGGTGAGTTTATTTCTTCCAAACACTGATTACTAGCGTGTTCAAATGACAATTTTTTTATGCTTTCCACCCACAGAATATGCTTTTAAAGCCATAAATCAAGGCGGATTAACATCTATCGGTCTTCGTGGGGCTGACTCAGCAGTAGTTGTGACTCAAAAGAAAGTCCCAGTGAGTTATTTTTCCTTACTTACCATCCACACTGTTGTCTAAATAAAAGGGACTTTGTACTGTTACTGTCCTTCAGGTTGATTTCATCCATTTTAATTTTACAGGCCTTGGGATTATAAACTTTCGTTTCGGCTTCAAAATCGTCCAATCGAGATAGACAATTTATGCTCGCTCTGAGATGTTTTAGTTTGTATCGATGCAGAAATCGAAATCTTTGTCTCAGGTTATTTTCCGGAATAAGTTTTTCTTAACTTGGTTTAATTATTTCAGAATAGGTTTTTACTCCGTTTTTGGAAAAAGTTATCTCTTAGATTATGTAGTTTTTTGGATTCGATGACAATTTTGACTTGGCCTTGGTAACCACGCTTATTTTGTCAGACAGAGGGGTTACACAGACTCGATCTTGGGGAAAATTTTAACCACAGGCTAACTGCATTGGGCAATGGAAGTTCTGCCCAAGCTCAGGGCTAGATTCTTGAGACTGTGTTTCAAAGATAGCATACCTCCTCTAATTTTTGATTGTTAATGTCTTTCCATAAGTCCATTATTTTACGCAATGGTTTAATTTGCAGGGTTTTTCAATTAATTTTTTAACCAAGAACCCTGTATGAACTGTAATTTTTTTGTTTTAAGGTGTTATGTAGAGGTGAAACTGTAAGTTAAACTGGTTAACATATTTATAAAAGCATATTTGTAGGCTGTTGTAAGCCTGGATAACAAATTCTTGCATTCTTGTTTTCATGTTTTACAGGACAAACTGCTGGATGCCTCCACTGTGACTCACCTGTTTGAGTTATCAGAAAGAATAGGATGTGTTATGACCGGCGTGATAGGTACTTGTATCACTTACTTTATACTTGGATATCTCTATGTTTTCAGGAAGCCTGGCACTGTACTTTCCAGGTCTACTTGTATTTTGCATGAGAGTTTGGACAATTTTTACCCTGCTACACAGACTTCTCTGGCTAAATCTTAATAGATTGAGCTCTTTTTTATTTAGACATGGAGAAGAAAATTTTTCTTGTCACTTTTTATCATTTTCCTGTTACTAAAATTCTAAAAGAAACCCCTTTATGCTTTATACATCTACAGATACACTTAAAATTTAAGGAGACACCAAAACTCTGGCCCCGCTTGTTCGAAAGCCGATTAAATTATCCCTTGATTAGAGGTTAATCGACGATTAAATTTCTTATCCCAAGGATGGCTAATCTAGGTTTAAAATAACGTTCCTGAAAGCAGATTTATCCCTCGATTAACTATCCCACGATTAAGCCGAGATTAAACCAATGAAACCGGTTATTAGGAGCTACGCAGCGACGCGTGAACAATGAAAAAAATTGGAGGGAAAAAATGGCGGAAAGTGAGAGTGCACATGGAAATGGAAACCAAACGAAAGATTGAAAAAGAAAACAGAATTTTTCAGTTTATGAGATTGAAGTCATCATCGATAGTGTCAAAAAAAATCTGGACTTAATCCAGTCCAAATTAATGAATGCTGTGACCAACAAAAAGAAACAAATGCTCTGGGAAGAAATAACCCAAGTGGTAAATGTGGTCGGAACAGTGAAGCGAACGGTTACGGAGGTAAAAAACTAGTGGAAAAATCTCCATAGCATCGCCAAGAAAGAATTTGCAGAATTCAAGAGGGAGATCAAGGTAACTGGGGGTGATCGGCCTCCAAAGTCACC